TATATATATAATTTCTCATCTTTCTTCCTCGTTTCTCCTCTTCCAAACATAGTAAGTATGCACATTTATATTTTTTTGACGTTAAAATATAACCAAAAAATTCATTTCAAGAAAAAAAAAACTTATGTTTAGAAAATGATAATAAAAGAATAGGAATTAGAGAAAGTGAAATAAGATAACAAAGTAAATACATCATAATCCCTCGATCTGTTTGATTTGATGCTCGTGCCAATATTTTATATATTTGAAGTGAGAAAAACTCAAATGATAACAACCTAGTACGGATCTTATCCTGCGTGTTTTTTCTTGTCCTTAACCATAAAGGGAATAAGTGATACAAAATGAAAAATAAAAAATAAAAAAATAAAAACATATTGGGCACACCCACATCACAATTGACCACATACACATGTGTTCATTCTCACAAAACAAAATATTAAGATACGGACACAGAGACACAGATTGCGTTAGAGAGAGAAACCTCGGATCCAAATTGTTCTTCTAAACTTCTTCTTTCTAACAACAACTAACCATATCTATTGTCTAACTCTTTCCCCTTGAATGTGATATGTTATGCAACTGTGGATTGAGATTAGATTCCCACCACCCACTTTCTCTTCCCATCCTATGATAAACTCTGTCTTTTTTGATTGAAAACTAAGTTTCCCTTCTTTCTCTTTCCATCAGATAGATAAAGTGTGCATGTGAAGACAAGGACGTTTCCCAGAAAAGTGTTTCTTAAAGACCCAGCAAAAATCCATGCCTCTGATTCCTGAATACACACTCCCTTCAATGCCAACACTAATACCATCTTCATGATTACGATTGCAATTGATTTCTATTTGGTGGGGGATCTAAAAAAAATTGAGCTTGGATGCAATGTGGGTTGAATTAGGGCAGTTATAGGTGCCCTACATGCCAGAGTGACCCTCTTGGATCTTCTGCACAATGGCATTGTTCCGCAAGTTCTTCTATAAGAAGCCCCCAGATGGGCTTTTAGAAATCACTGAAAGGGTTTATGGTACGCTTTTTGTTGCCTCATTTTTTGTGGATACATTGGTTGTGGTGGAACTGAGCAGTGTTGGCTTCTTTTCAGTGCAAATATTTCATCCTTATGCATTTTGCCTTAGTGGGAGGTTGTGGTATGTAAGGCTTGGTTCACATATTTAAGTGGATAATGGGAGTGGTATAATGTGAACAATGTTGGCTTCTGTTGAGTGCACATATTTCATCTTTATGCATTTTGTGTTAGTGGAGGGCTTGTGGTATGTAATGTAAGGCTTGCTTTGCAGATTTAAAATGAATAATGGGAATAGTATAATGTGAACAATGCCAATTCTGTTGAGTGCAAATATTTCCTTTTTATGCATTTTTGTGCTAGTGGGTTGTGGTAGTATGGGAGTTATTTTGCAGTTAGAGTTAACAATGGAGATTGTATAACTTCTCTACATTTCCATTTTACAGAATGCAGTCATTCTAGTCTAAATGTTTGTTGATCAAATAGTCAATAGGCTTTTGACATCTTGTTTGTGACTTAATGGATGTTTTATCTTTTAGACACATATTTTTGGGAGGAATGAAGGTAAAATTAATGGGAACTGGAAAGAACCTCAAAGAGTTGACATGAAATACTCAGCTAACTTTTCTTCTTTGCACAATCATTTTTAAATATATTGTGAAATATTGTCCATTGATCATTGTTGGGGACTGGTGACCGAAAACTAGCACAATACTTGCTTGATGACTTTATAATCTCAGAATTTGGGCCTTGTGATGTTAGACACTTTCTATCTTGCTTATATGTGTGGCATGTCATATTAATTGGTAATTGGTACCATTTGTTCATCATAAAGAATATTTGTCATACATATATGTGATTCTGATTATCTTGTCTTTGCATGTGCAGTCTTTGATTACTGCTTTACCACGGATGTTATGGAAGAAGATGAATATAAAGTGTATATAGGGGGAATAATTGGGCAACTTCGTGGTCACTTCCCTGATGCTTCATTTATGGTGTTTAACATGAGGGAGGGAGATAGCCAAAGCCAGATTTCAAACATTTTGTGCGACTATGATATGACTGTGATAGACTATCCTCGACAGTATGAAGGTTGCCCGTTACTTACCATGGAAATGATTCACCATTTCTTGAGGTCAGGTGAAAACTGGCTCCAACTTGGGCAACAAAACGTTGTCTTGATGCACTGTGAACGAGGTGGGTGGCCGCTATTAGCATTTATGCTTGCTGCACTCTTGATTTATAGAAAGATGTTTACAGGGGAGCAGAAAACATTAGACATGATATACAAGCAAGCTCCTCGAGAACTTTTGCAGTTGATGTCACCATTGAATCCATTACCTTCACAATTGAGGTATCTTCAGTACATATCAAGAAGAAATGTTGGTTCAGAATGGCCTCCTCTTGATAGGGCACTTACTTTGGACTGTGTAATTATAAGACTCATTCCTAACATGGGTGGAGAGGGTGGTTGCCGTCCTATATTTAGGATATATGGACAGGACCCTTTTATCCCTGCAGATCGGACTCCCAAAGTTCTCTTTTCAACTCCTAAAAGGAGCAAACTTGTCCGGTATTGCAAGCAGGTGGTACTTTACTCTAATTTAATATGGCATTTTATAATTCAAGATATTGAACCTATTTCCCTTTGTTTTGTTCTTACAACTTGTATTTTATGTTCCTTCCATTTTATGTTTAATTATCTTAATTTCAACCATAGGCAATGCTATAGAATTCCTTTATTGAATTAATGTATACATACAGATAGGAACATAACATATATGAATACATATTGTAATCCAAATGAACGCCACTTTCAATTTTTCTGAAAAAAAAATGGCAATTTTTATGTAAAGTTAGTGTGCCAACTGAAGTCAATGATTATCCAAAGTTACATAAATAAAATTGAAACTATGTTAATTCATTTTAAACATGATCTTTCTAAATGTTTTATGTTTTATGTTCTATGTAATTTGGGGAGGGTCAGGGTTGCAAAGTGGTGATGGGGCTAGTGGCTTTGATGCGATCTAAGGAGGGATGGTGTGAGCTGGAAATGGACCATCTTTACTTGTGAACATTATGGAAGAAAACCAGTAGAGTTTTGAAGGAGAATACCTACAGGGAATGGGTTTCCAATCTAAAATAGAACTGAGCGTATGCCAATTGTTTTGCAAAGATGATTTTTTATTGCATTTCATTCATATGGGTTAAACATAAAAAATTTCTTATCGAAGTTAGCAAAATTGGCATTAATTGATCCAGTGACATTATTATGCTTTGCGTATAGTTTGTAAGAATCAACAAAAAATTATGTTAAATTGAATTACAAATTGGATGTTTTGTTTCTTCTTTATACTACAAGGATTTGATCAGTTGGCACTCATGAACTCAGAATCAAAATGTTGCATCCTTATATCTTCATTTTCCTCTATTTAGATTGTACTTACATAGGGTTCTTAAGTAAGGATTTATTTTGTCCCTTTTTCCTTTATTTACTTATGTATTTTTTATTTGTATTTGTTACAGTCTGATTGTGAGCTGGTTAAGATTGACATCCATTGTCATGTTCAAGGTGATGTTGTTTTTGAGTGTATTCATCTGGACAGTGATTTAGAGCGTGAACAAATGATGTTTCGGGTGATGTTTAATACTGCATTCATAAGGTCAAATATTTTGATGCTTAACCGTGATGAGATTGACATATTATGGAATGCTAAAGATTACTTCCCTAAAAATTTTAGAGTGGAGGTATTAATCTCTCTCTTTCTCTCCTGTTTTTATTAAATGATTAGCGATAAAACCAACCTAATGTTTATATGGTATATACTGTATTTTTGGTTGAAGGTTCTTTTCTCAGATATGGATGCTTCATCTTCTGTTATTTCAATTGATCTGCCGGGTGTTGAGGAGAAAGAAGGCCTGCCTGTTGAAGCATTTGCTAAGGTTAAGGAAATTTTCAGCCATGTGGACTGGCTAGATCCAAAGGCAGAGGTAGCAAGTGTGCTCCAACAGATCACAGCATCAAATATCTTTCTGGAAAGATTGGACAGTGGGGTAGCTAGTGGCTTGCAAAAGGAGTCACCAGGAATATTTAAACTTGATTCGAATGCACACAGTGATACAAAGGATCTGACTTCCGAAGATCAGGAGAAACTTTCTACATCCTCATTGCGATCATCTGTGGATCTTCCTATGGAAAATAAGACAACACCATTAGAAACAAAGACATTGTCAAAAAATAATCTTGAGACCCTTAAATGTTTAGGTCAGGGGAACCAACCTATTTCCTCATCTGGGCTCTCAACAGATACATATTCTACTAAAAAGGAAACTGAACTGTTAGAAGCAAAAAAATCATTGGAAAATGATATGAAGTTTACTGCACCTATGGCTCATGAGAATCAATCTATCCCCATAATTGAGCCATCTATGGATGCAAATTCAATAAAAAAGGAGAGTGGATCATTAGGATCCAAGGAGAACAATACTCAATCATTAGCATCAGAGGCACATTTGGAAAGTGATAGCAGATTCAAATCGGAGCCGGAACTCCTTTCAAAAATTGATATAAAAAGTGCTACTTCTAAAGTTGAAGGGAATCTTTCTATGTCCTCATTTGAATCATCAGGTAATGCTCCTATGGAAAAGGACAAAGATCCTGTAGAATTAAAGGCATCACTAGAAAATAACACCAAGACTCTTGCTTCCATGAGTGAGGGGAAACAGCTCATTCCCTCACTTGGTCTCTCAGAAGATTCTACATCCATGGCTCATGGGGAGCAGTCTATGCCCTTAATTGAACCATCCAAGGATGCAAATTCAATGAAACAGAAAATGGGACCATTAGAGTCAAAGGAAAAGGATACTGAATCATTAGAATCAAAGTCATTGTCGGAAAATGATACCAATCGTCCTCCATCTATGGCTCAAGGGAAGCAATCCATTCCCTTAATTCAACCATCGATGGATACAACTTCAACAAAAAACATGGGACAATTACTTGAATCTCCCATTGATGCAAACTCAATTAAAAAGAAGATAGAACCTCAAGAATTGCAGGTTGCACTTCAACTTCCCACCCAATCTAAAATAATTTCACCGCAGGTGCGCCCAGCTGTTCGATCCGCTTCTGCTTCTTATTGTAACTCCTTTCAAGGTTCACCTGTAGCTATCTCAAGATATCATAGTGCACCATCATCTCTTGGAATAACATCTGTGTTGCAGGATCATGCTGTGACAAAATCTCCTCGACCTTCTACTTCGCCTCCTTCGGACTCCAAGGTGCTAAAATCTATAGAGCCTAGTTCTACAAATTTTTCTCCAACATCATCACCATCACCACCATTGCTTTCGTCTTTACCATTAAAAGCTTCAGTTGATGCTCTTACTGCAATGGAGAAGACTTTTGGATCCTTTGCTCCCGCAACTGTCACTCCTCCTCATCCTCATCCTCGTCCACCACCACCACCTCCTCAAGGTGAGCACACTTCAACATTGATGCAATATAATGTTATACAACACCCTGAAAACACAATGCATGAAGGTCAGAAATCATTGTTGAGGCCTCCTCCCCCTCCTCCTCCACTCTCTTCCCTTCCAGGAACATCAATTTCCACCCCGAAAGATTCATTTAAAGGTCCTCCATCACCACCACCTCCACCTACACCTCCTTCTTCAACTAGACAGGCTTCATCATCTTTGGTACCTCCTCCTCCTCCTCCACCACTGTCTGAGTTTCCTTCTTCAGCTTCCCACCCTCTTTCTTCATCATTGAGTATATCTGGCCCTCCTCCCCCACCTCCACCTCCTAGCCATTTTGATTCTACTCCATCGCCGTTAGCACCACCTCCCCCCCCTCCTCCCGCTCGTAGCCATTCCAATTCTACTCCATCGCCATTAGCACCACCACCACCCCCTCCTCCAGCTCCTAGCCATTCTGGTTTTACTCCATCACCATTAGCACCACCACCCCCTCCTCCACCAGTTTCTGCATCCCAAAATTCTTTGTCCAACACAAATGCTCCACCTGTACCCCCACCTCCTTCCAACGGGTTGTCAAAACCCTCTGTTCCTGGACCACCTTCTGTACCTGGACCACCTTCTGTTCCTGGACCACCTTCTGCTCCATTTGGTGCAAAGGGACGTGGCCTATCACGATCTAATGCAAGAGGTCCACAGAGTAAAAGGAGCAATCTGAAACCTTACCATTGGTTAAAATTAACGAGGGCCATGCAAGGAAGCTTATGGGCTGAGACACAGAAACTAGATGAATTTTGTAGGTATGTGTCAAGTCTTTTCTAAATTTAGATATAAAAATCTGAGCTTATATGAATTGTGCTTACCATTTATTTATTTATTTTTAACCTTTTTGGTGTTAGGGCTCCAGAGTTTGACATGTCAGAACTTGAGACTTTGTTCTCTGCAGCTGCTCCAAATCCTGATGATAAAGGAAAATCAACACGCCGCCCCTCACAAAAAGTTGACAAAGTTCAATTGGTATGCCTATTCATTAATAGTTAATATCTGACCAATCTAATTAGTTTAGATATTAGTAAAGACAACAAATAAGTAGCTTTTTATCTACATTGTTTGTCCCAAAAAAACCCTTTATTTATTCTAAACTAAAGTTAAATAAACTTGTTAAAATACTAGTTCTTAAATTTAAAACCAAAGTTATTAGAAATTGGCACTTTTAAATAAGTGCTTCTATTCCACCATTTTCTCCTAATTGTGCACATATATGTGTAAAGTTTTTCATTATAGGAACTGGATGATAATTTCTTTCTCTTTTTCACCAGTGAATTGGTTGTGATTTATTTGTGTGGGTTTTGTTTAGTCCCATGGCTTGTGTCTCATGCCTTTCATCAAGGCTTTAGTTATTCATTTAATTCTTGTCAAGACTTTTTTTTTTTTAATAGAATTTGAGCTCTTTACAAAAGATTAATGTCACCTTGCAGATTGAGCTTAGGCGGGCATATAACTGTGAGATCATGCTTACAAAAGTCAAAATCCCTTTGCCTGATTTGATGGTGAGATATTATCCATTATGTTATTTATTGACACTAATGCTATGAGAATTTTGATTTGAATTTATGTCCAAGAGAATGCTCATTGTTAGTCACTGTTTTAAATCTTTGTAAATCATAACTGCTTAAGGAATAGATGATCTGGAAGAATTCATTGTCTCAACTGGGTACTTCTTAACTTAGCAAGTAGCCAAGTAGTCTCTCTGTTATGCGAACTGAGATTTGGGCTTACTTGATGTTTGAATGCAAGTTGAAAGTTTAGCCACTGTCTGGTTCAAATTATGAGGATATCTATTATGGCATCAAAGCACTATGCCTATGTTCTGCTGCTATGACTTCACTAAGTTAAATATTTAGCTTGATTTTATATTCTTCCTTGATATAGATAAACTTAATCAGATGGGTAGAATACTTTTTCTTCTGTTCAGATGAGGCTCTAATCATTCTTAATGCAATTTTATTTTTGTTTTTATCTGAAAATTGTTGGTAGAGAAGATATACAGACAGAATGATCATGAGTAGTCCTTGTTGAGATTTTAAGGTATGGAAGTAAGGAGAAGGGGATAATAGTAACTGTTAGATATCTTTAATTATTGTAATTAGGACATTCTAGGATTTACATAATTATGGTAATTAGGCAGTTATTTCTTCGTAATTATTACCCACACTATATAATAATACACTCCGATGTGTACATTACATTGACACACAGATTCAGTATATGTCTCTTGCTTTCTTTTCTTCTTAACTTAACATGGTATCCAGAGCCTAACAAGAGACAACCTTATGCTGTGCCTTCCCAGTTGACCCACTATCTGTCAGTGCCAATATTCTTTTCTTGAAAACCGTTTTGTGGCAGTGTCATTGCCTTGTTCTTTTTCTGGCAACTTTTTTTCCCCCTCTACACCTATTAATTCTCGGCCTTGGTGTCTCAAAGTGTTTTATGCAATTGGTTCCACAAATTGAGCAATCCTCACCTCCAAATTCCAATGTGATCATTGCTATTAGCCAGGATTGATCAATGTGCTCTTCATGGTCGTCCTCCCTGATCAGCTAATGCCGCACAAACTGTACCTCCTCCTTATGCTCCAACTTTTTCTCATCACATTGCACAACCACCACCGACCATTTTCACTAACTTCCTTCGGTGGTACAAGCAATGTTAGGCCTTTGGTTCCACTCAACACTAAAATATTTTGTTCTATCTTAAAATCTCCAAAGCTAATTTCAAAAAACCTGATTTATTCAATTTAGTGTTTTACATCCTTATAAACCGAATTCAACTTACACTTTTAATTCCTTATTTGAAAAAAAAAAATGTATTTCTCAAGTATTCTGGTTATTAGGTATTCAATATTGCTAACCTGGGCAGAAACAATGTTGTTGAGTTATACCTGAACAGCTGGTCTATTAACCCCATTTATTATGAATTTATGACATTTTGAAGGGATTGCATAACCTATAATTTTGCTTTAATTATGAACTTGCATACTGACATTGTTATTATTTTATTAGGCTTTATGAATTTATGACATTTTGAAGGGATTGCATAACCTATTATGAATGTTTGATGTCTATTAACCACTATTTATTATGAATTTATGACATGATATCTTGACTGTTGATGTGCACATTGTACTACATCATCATCTATATGTTACATCATCATTTTAATTCAATAGTAAATGTGACACATAAGGAGTTAAAGTGCCATGTCAAATCAAATTGTCACATTAGAAATTAACTAACATCGTTAGACAGTCAACTAACAATACGGTGGCAAAATGTGCAAAAATTTGAAAGTTGGGTAGCAAAATGTGCATATTTGAAACTTGGGTGGCAAAATTCCTGAAATTGTGAAATTTGGGTGTAAAATTTTCATAAGCCATTTTATTGTTATATTTAACTTTGAGTTTAATAGGTGGTCATATTGGACTTGAAGTTGTGACTACAGGTACCGCTTTATCTCTATAGGGGCCGAGTCAACCCAATGGAAAGGAATTATACTTTCTTATTAAACAAAAAAGTAAAAATAAAAATTACTGGTCATATTTTATAACTTAAAACCTGCAAAAGCTTTTAGTTATGCCCATTTCTTCCTAAAAGAATTTAATGAAAATACCTATCATGGTCATCTTACGTTTAGTTTGCTTTAAAAGTTAATTTAGTAGTTATCATTGAATGCTCTTGGTAATGTTTTTTTTATAATCACATAATTTTCTACTTGACTATTGAATGCCCTTATTTGAAGTTTTAATTGAAAATCCCAAATTTTAAAACATTCAATTGGTCAGAAAGGAATGTCTCCAATCACAGAAAAACATGTCATTTTATACTTGTATTCTCACATGCTAATCATTGTCTTTCAGTGTGCTGTGCTTGCAATCGATGATTCAGTGTTAGATGTTGATCAAGTAGAGAACCTCATAAAATTCTCTCCAACCAAAGAAGAGATGGAACTGCTCAAGGTATCATGCCCTTTTCTTGTTTCTTCTACTAGAACTTTTTGTCATAGGGGGAGCATCAGCAACTTTGCTACAATCTATGTTTATTTAAGCTATAGCGATACTTTATATGCAGAACTATAATGGGGATAAGGACAACTTGGGAAAGTGTGAACAGGTGAGTGGAGTTTTACCATTTGTTCCCTGTTTTTTAAATATTATTTTTGCACTTGAAGCAACTTATGGTAGGATGACTCATCTAGCATTCATGGAACAATAAAATTTTAATCAATGATTAACAACATAACTAGACTCATCAATCTTTTTTTGTATGTAAACCTGTCTACTCATTTGTGGCCAGTGTTAAGTTTGTGAATAGAGATAGCATTTAAGGTTAAGCTCTCTAAATATAATCTAACTTGCTATATAGTTTTTGCAAATCATTTTCAAGATTTCTTCTTTCTTTTCCATTTCATTCTTATTTGCTTTTGCATTTTGTAATAGTTCTTCATAGAATTAATGAAAGTGCCTAGAGTGGAAAGCAAGCTAAGAGTGTTCGCTTTTAAGATGCAATTCTGCTCCCAGGTCAGAAGACAACGACACAATGCTGTTAGTTATTAAATAATTCTGTTTTCTTGCCATTAAAAATTTAGCTACTCTGGTGCACCTTGCCATGTAATATTCATGTAGGTTTCAGAGCTTAGAAGGGACTTGAATATTGTAAATTGTGCTTCTGAAGATGTAAGTTATACATATCTTTTTTTCTTTTGAATCCTCTTTCCCGAGATACCCTTTTATCTTCAGCTGCCATTGTAATGTGCATCAGATAAGGAATTCAGTCAAGCTGAAAAGAATCATGCAGACCATTCTTTCTCTGGGTAATGCTTTGAACCATGGAACTGCAAGAGGTGAGTTAAAGCTTTAACATTCACCAATTCACCATCATAAATGATATATTTGTGGACAAATAATGTAGTGAGTTTATAATCAAGCATGGACTTTTCAGATACTCTTAAGTCATATAATTTATGTGTCTTAGGAATTGTGGCTAAGAACCTAACTAAATCCTACAAAATTGACTTGTATGGTTACAACTGTCCAAGCTTTAGAAGCTGTATTTAAGTCATATCTCTAGTTAATATGGGACCACACAACCCTTGAGGCTGCAATTGAGGCAGCCCCCATAGAGGTTGCAACTAAGGTGGGTTAGGGGTTACCACAATTAAGGAGGCTTTCCAACCTATGAAGCTATTAGGTTCTCGGAAATGACCGAAAGGAAAAGGGCATTATTCGTCCCTGAATTTATTGAATCTTTAGAAAAAAAATGATTACACAAAGGAGGCTACTCCTTTCTCACTGGGGTCTGTCCAGTTTTTTACTAACAATCGTAATCCATATCCCCCTCACCCTAAACAGAGGACCTATTTAAAGAAAACCGAAAACTCACTAATTGTAACCGTCAACCTAACTAATAGGTCAAAGGATCAAATAGATTTAATTAATTCCTATTTGTACCCTTCTTCCTATAATACACTCTTAGGCTTCTATTTATCTCCTGTGGTTCTCGATGTCTAACAGAAGCATGGACTTGAAGACGAATACTGAACATGAACTCTATAACGCAGTTAATGTGTGAAATTTAGGACACAGACATTGCAAAATAAGAGTAAGATAACAAAAGATTTGAATTGATAATCAATATTTGTATATTCTTGTATGTCCACCAACCTTTTTCTTATGATATTAACCTCACAAAAAAAAATAGAGAGATTATTTTACAACAAAAAAACATGTTTTTGTTTTTAAAAATATTCCAAAATAAGACAATGAAGTTATATCTTTTAAGAAAGATATATTCACCTTCTTAAACTAACTTTCTAAATTTTTTCCATGATAACAAACCATACAAAACAAAAAGGCGAGAGGCATTTTTCGATATTTTTAATGTGACTTTTATAAAGATTAAAAGAAATATTTTTTTAATAATATCAGTGTGTATCCATCAATATGAAAGTGTTGGCTCAGGTGTCTGAATCAACAAAAAAGTATTTTTTAATTGGATGCTTGATGATAAGTGTCAGACAGATGTTGGACAAGTGTTGGGTAGGTGTCGATGTTAGAAATGCATTGAGTATTGACACCATGGTACTTCAAACATGAGAGGTGTTCGTGCTTCAAACTTTGCAACAAACCTGCTCATGGCTAGGGCTACTGGCTTGGATCGTGGCAATGCATGTGGCCTAATAATGGATCTAGGATAGACTAATATCATATTTCAATGAGATTAGAGTCTAACTCAACTCCACAAAATCAACTTACTTGGTGAAGATTGTACAAACTTGATAAGCTCTATTTAAATCATATTTCTAATACATATCGGACTATATGCTACCCTTGAGGCTGCAATTAAGGCAAAGAGTGCACAACTAGGGTGGGCTAGGGGTAACCACAAGTCCACAACTAAGGAGACTTTCCAACAATGTGCATTCTATAGTTTGTGTTTTAACATTTATTCTTGGTCTTTTGATAAATTAAATTTTATTGGAAAAAAAAAAAACACTGCTATAGTCTTGATTGCTTTCTTGTTATTTTATATGATTTAGGTTCGGCTGTTGGGTTTCGATTGGATAGTCTACTTAAACTTACTGATACACGAGCTAGAAACAGCAAGATGACTCTTATGCATTATCTTTGTAAGGTAAACCACCTGATATCCTTCTTCTCATTTATATGAATTGTTTATGCATTATCTTTGTAAGGTAAACAACCTAATTTGAATTTTAATTTAAGAGGAAAGTCCAAATGTAATTTGGTGATGAGAAGCTGAATCAGTTGTGAAAAGGTGCTAGTGATGATGATATCATCAACATAAATCAGTACAGAGGCAATGGTTAGAACAATGATGAATGAGGAGAAAAGGATCACACCAACTTTGTACAAAACCAAAACTGAATAGTGTTGTAGTTAGCCTTTCATATCAAACCGTGAGTGCTTGTTTAAGGCCATAGATAGTCTAATTAAGCTTTCAAAGAAGATTGGGATTAGATGACCAAACCCCTGTGGTTGGGTCATATAAAATTCCTCTGTCAAAATACCAATCAGAAAAGCGTTATTGATGTCAATTTGTTGGAAATATCACTGATTGGACAATGCTAGAATGAGTAGCACTCTGATGGTGATAGGTTTGGCCTACAAGGAAAAGGTTTTAGATAAATCAGTTCCAGGAGCTTGATGGAAACCTTTGGCAACTAGCCTCACTTTGTATTTGTTAACAGTGCTGTCAGGATTCTTGTTAATTCTGAAAATCCATTTATATCCAATGGTTGTCCTTACATGAGGAAGGGGAACAAGGTTACAAGGGTGTAGGTTCATTTTCCATTTAGAGCATATGTTTTTATATTAACCAATTGAAAATAAGTGAAGTTGTCCAACAAATAAATAAGGTGAACCCCAAAATTGAGGTAAGCAATGTGGGACTTTCCAGCATCCCTCCTCCACATATGCTTGTTAGATTAGGCAATGCCTACTAGAATAGGCAATTCACGAAGATGCACTATAGGCACTAATACCATGTTATACTCTATCTTAAAACCAATTGGCCTTAAGTGAAGTTGGCTAACAAATATATAAGTTGCATCTCAAGAATTGAGGCAGACAATGTGAAACTTTCCAACATCATATTCTTGTTGCATAGCTGTCTTCTAAGAAGAATTAAGGTATTGCTTAACTATTTGTGGTTCGGTTGTGGTGAGCAGAAGGGTAGGATGTAACCTATGTTTAACAATTCCAGATTACAAACAAGTTTGTATGGGGCGAACAGATTTGGAGAGTGGGATATTTTCTGTAGAAGGTTCAACTCTGTGACTATTAGGTGGATCGATTGCCATGAATTAGGATATAATAGTCTATTTTACCAAAGATTGTGAAATTGATAGAGGCCATTTGAAGTTAGATAACCTTGGACATGGAGTAAAGTTGTGGTCAACTTGAGATTTCACAAAGTATTAGGATAAAACTCAAAATAGACATTATTGTCTTTGTAAAATTTGCTAACACTAACTAGATTTTTGGTTACGGATGGAACTAACAGTGGATCTTTAAGATGAAATTTAACAATAAGATAACACGAAGAAGTAAATGAGGTGGAACCAATGGATTTAATTGGAAAACCTTGTCTGTTGCCAAGGAAGATGATCATGGTTTGGTAGGGTAGTCTCCTGCATCCAGTGTTGAAAGCAGTGACATACTGACATGATGTGTAGCCCCAGAGTAGCTGTACCAATTCTGCAACTGTTGTGGGAGCAAAACACTGGAAAGGTAAGCCTGAGGTGTATAGTTCATGTTGGATGCCTGAGGAGGCATAAAATGTAATGGTGGTCCAGGTTGAGTAGGATATGTATAAGGAGCGTCAAACATAGGATTGAAGTGGTGATAGCACATTGTTGCAGCATGCCCAATCCTGTTACAGACTTGGCAATGGCATTGAATGATAGCCTTGTGATTGTTCAGGAGAAGGTCCATTACTGCCACCATTATGATGTATCTAGTGAGCCTGAGGTGTTTCACTGAAAGCAAATGCTTCAGATTCTGCTTTCAGCAAGATATGCATCACATTAATGAGATCTAATTGTTCGACTGATTCAGCCTCTCTACATGAGATTCTTGCACCACAACCAAGGATTCAATTTCTGTGAAAAAAAAGAGTTCAAGCTTACTATTAACAGCACATCAAGCTGTTCCTGATCAGAAACCAGATCACCAATGGATTTTAGACAAGAAGAAATAGCTTTGATTTGTAGAATGAATTTCCAAACAATTTGGCCTCCTTTCTTTACATCTAGAAGCGCATTCCAAAGTTGCCTAGCTTGTGCTTTGGTGTGAGATATGAAATGACTTTGAATTTTGTTCTATAACTGTTAAGAGTGGGTGCAACCAATCGCACGAGTCAGAATCAATGCCAAGAGAGAAGGTTGCAGCCAGGTAAGTAGAAGCTGGTCTTGCAATTCCCAAGGATGATATTCAGAGTTCTTAACCCTATATTGTGATCTTCATAAGACAGAAATTGAACAGGCATTTCTGGCTGTGCCAGAAAATCAATGGAGTTGATGTGCTTTTAGAATTGGTTCTACTTGCTGTTTCGACGCTAGAAAAGTTAATTTGTCAAGTTTCTTGCTGAGCGAGTATGAAAAATTGACCGGAGAGTAGTCACCAGAAAGAGATTCACTGGAGTTTGAGGTGGAGGAACTGGCAGTGAGCTCAATGCAGTAGGGCTCTGCAGTGAATTGATAGCCATTAATTAGGCTATAATAGGTCTGGATACCTTGTTAAAATGGTAAGACAGAGAGAGAGGAAAAAAATTTGAAGTGCTTTATTGAATTGATTCAGAAGGTACAATAGAGCCCTTTATATAGAGCAGAGTGCAGTGCAAAAATACTAAATGACTTTATAACTGAACCTAACTAACTTTACATTGACAGATGTCAGATAGTGATAGTTGTAACAGACTGTGGTAAGTCTGACGTGTACACTAGTATACTTAAACAAATTGAAGGTAGAATTACTACTATTATTTTTCACCCTAGGATTTTATACCTTACTGGGAAAAAATATGGTAAAGGACTAAACTATGGATTTTTGGAAGCCTTCCCTCGTGGTGTTTGACTGTTCTAACGATGCTCCATTTAGGTCATTTTGAAAAAATAAGACAGGTGTCTACATCTGGAATGATTAAGTAATTTGCTATTTTTAAGAGAAACTATGAATCATGAACTTGAAAAAAATAGGTTCACTCAGTGTAACATAAAACATTTGTTAGAAAATTTCATTTTTTAGGATATCTTTCTTAGGATTAGTTTTCCTATTTCCTCAGTATCTCTTAGGACTGATCATAATATTTCCTTATTTTATCATGATTTTGGTAGGGATTTAACTGCAAATGTATGTTTTTTCAACAGACTAAAGAATTTCCAGAATTTTTATTATAGATTAATGCATCATAAGTTTGCCCGAGAATTGTCTGGTCCAACTGTGTTTTACTGCACCAGTTCAATGTAAATTGTTGGCATTGCACCTTCCTCTGAAATAAGTTAGATAGTAATTGTTTTGATGATTGACGAGTTGTAGGTGCTTGCTGAAAAACTTCCAGAACTACTAGATTTCCCCAAAGATCTACTGAGTTTGGAGGCTTCAACCAAGGTTTCTTTCGTTGTTTTACTGTTATATCAGGTGGTTTCAGTTCTTTCTGTTTGGATTTGGTGTATGCTGAGTTGTAAGCTTGTATTCCACACAGATACAACTAAAGTTTCTGGCAGAGGAAATGCAAGCTATTAGTAAAGGACTGGAGAAAGTTGTTCAGGAATTAACTGCGTCAGAGAATGATGGGGCTGTGTCAGAAAACTTCTGCCAGGTATGTTATATAACAGGTGATCTAAATGCTTTAATCAGATTGAACTGATTCTGAACTCTGATAAATTTCGATAAATAAATATTGTAGAAGCTTGGCCTAGGCTATACAATCTTTAAACATCAATGTAAATTGTTAGACAACTAGAGAAGGATAGGAAGTTAAAAGTGTAACAATTCATACTACACTTTTTGACACTTCACATTACACTTTATGATAAATTTTTATAAATTAATTATTATGGATAATATATAAATATGAATAACAAACAAAAAAAATATATAATAAAAAAATTACAATAATAAAAGAAATTACATAAAAAGAATTACTAAAAATTACAACAAATTAAATTCAATTACAATAAAACTAGTCTAATTTGCGTAAATTAAAATTACAATAATATTTATTCTCCTAAAGTGTGAACATCAATTTATACACACACCACCAATGGCTCTCCCAACGGCTCTCTCGTCTATCAATGGTTCAAGCCAACGTTTTTTTTTCTTTCTTTCAAGTCTCCTCTCTCACTTTCTCTCACTTTCTCCTTCTTTCTTTCTTTTAACCGGTAGGGGGTTCTGCCCAACTGAGGGGTTCGGTAGGGGGTTTCGCGCGCGCGACGGAGGGGTCTGGTCGGGGGTTGCACGCGCGCGGCTGGGGG